ATTGCGCAAGAGCCGCGATGTACCTTTCGAACGGGGTGGAAGTGGAGATTGCACTTATGATACGTGAATGGAGCGCGTATTTTTTTCTCGGAGAAACGAAAATGTTAATGTCTAGGCTTTTTGTTTTCTTTGTTTCAATCACGTTGCTTCTGAGATGAATGGCGACATTTGTGTGAAGAAGACGCGAGTTTGTGATGTAATTGGGGAGATCCTGGTTCAAATTGTAAAAATATCTGGAAAAATCATTTATTGAAATATTTAAAAGAAAAAAATCAATGAATTTCAATTTTTTCTATTAAATTTATCCTGTTTTAATTTTTCCTGTAGCAAGTTCTCAGCAGAAATTCCTCCAGTTTTTTCCATTCTTTTTCATCTGATAAGAAAAATTAAGGAAAATAATGGAGGAAATGTCTAGTTTCTGAAGCAAAAATCACAATGAAGTCAACGCCGTTTGTAATAACATGTTTTTCTCAAAATAAGTCTTGAGACATTATTTCTCCCCATAAAATATAAATTAGTCAATAAGTAATGGTTGACAATACCCATTTATATCTTCTACCGCAAATGTCTGTCGAACGAGTTGGAGGTGAAGATTATTGAGTGAAGCTCGTGTTTTTTCTTGGAGAATCGAAAATGTTAATGTCTAGGCTTTTTGTTTTCTTTGTTTCAATTACGTTGCTTCTGAGATGAATGGCGATATTTGTTTGCACGGGGAGAAATATTCAATAAAAATTACGTATCTTTTCCGAAATTCCAGAGCGAAATGTGGTTGTAGGAAATTTTACGGAACTGTCACGGAATTTTTCCAGAGTGTTCCGTAATTTTTATCTGAATCTCCAGGGAAAAATTACGATACCGTCACTTAAATTTTCTGAGTCCATTCCGTAATCGGTGAGTAAATTGAAGTTCTGTAATTTTTATATTGAATATTTCTCTCTGTGTGGAGAGGACAGTAGTTTTTGATGTAATTGGGGAGATCCTGGTTCAAATTGTAAAAATATCTGGAAAAATCATTTATTGAAATATTTTTAAAAGAAAAAATCAATGAATTAAAATTTTTTCAATTAAATTTATCCGGTTTTAATTTTTCCTGTAGCAAGTTGTCAGCAGGAATTCCATAAGTTTTTTCCATTCTTTTCCGTCTGATAAGAAAAATTAAAGAAAATAATGGGGGAAATGTCTAGTTTCTGAAGGAAAAATCACAATGAAATCTAATAAAATGTTTTTCTCAAAATAACTCATACGATATTTCTCCCGTAAAATATAAATTAGTCAGTAAGTAATGACCAATAATACCCATTCATATCTCCTACCGCAAATGTCTTTTGAACAAGTTGGAAGTGGAGAGTATACTTGTGATACATGAGTGGATCGCGTGTTTTTTCTTGGAGAAACGAAAATGTTAATGTCTAGACTTTTTGTTTTCTTTGTTTTAATCGCGTTGTTTCTGAAATGAATGGCGATATTTATTTCGAGACGGGAGCTTGTGCTGTAATTGTGGAGATCCTGGTTCATGTCGTAAAAATGTCTGGAGGAAGAGCAATTGATGGATAAAAAATTTAATTCATTGGAATATTTAAAAGAAAAAAATCTATGAATTTTAATTTTTCTTATTCAATTTTCTCTGTTTTTATTTTTTCTGTAGCAACTTTTCAGCAGGAATTCTCCAAGTTTTTTCCATTCTTTTTCGTCTGATAGGAAAAATTAAGGGAAATAATGGAAGAAATATCTAGTTTCTGCAGCAAAAATCCCAATGAAATCATCACCTTTTCTAATAAAATGTTTTTCTCAAAATAAGTCATAACATATGTTTTCCCCGTAAAATATAAATTAGTCAATAAGTAATGACCGACAGTACCCATTCATATCTCCTACTGCAAATGTCTGTCGAATGAGTTCGAAGTGAAAAATATTGAATGAAGCTCGTGTTTTTTCTTGAAGAAGCGAAAATGTTAATGACTCTTTGTTTTCTTTGTTTTAATCGCGTTGTTTCTGAAATGAATGGCGATATTTGTTACGAGACGGGAGTTTGTGATGTAATTGTGCAGATTCTGGTTCATATCGTAAAAATGTCCGTGGAGGAAGAACAATTGATGGATGAAAAAATTAATTTATTGGAACATTTCAAAGAAAATATCGATGAATTTTAATTTTCTTATTCAATTTAATCTGTTTTAATTTTTCTGTAGCAACTTCTCAGCAGGAATTCCACAAGTTTTTTCCATTCCTTTTCATTTCATCAGAAAAATTAAGCAAAATAAATTGTATAGAAAAATAAACATTCATCGACTTTTTTACTTAATGTTTTTCTCTTTAATATTTCGATGCTATAAAAAATTCTTCCACAAACATAACTCAAGAAATTTCTCCCATGAAATATAAATTAGTCAATCAATAATGACCCATAACACCCATTCATATCCTCCACCTGAAATAACTAGAAAGGAAAAAAGAAAAAAATCCACTTGATCTACAAGTACCAGACGTTGACGATTTAATTGAAGGTTTTTGATGGATTTACTGGGCATTGGCATTATAACGCTAGCAATTTGTCTCAGTCTGATAATCAATTTTATATAACGTATTACTAGTTCAGTGCCCCACTTGAATTCCCCAGAAATAATCTCCATTAGGAATTCTCCTCAGGCGGAATTTTTCTCGAAAAAAAAAATTGTCTGAGTGATAAGGAGGGCAGGTCGATTGAGGCACGTGAACTGGGCCATATGGTCGAGGCGTCGGGTTCAGAAACGGCATTGTCTTATGCTGGATCCAAGAAAAGCGAGCTGAGTTCTATTACCCGTTAGAAACCCCTGATTTCTGATGATAGCCAACAACAATGGGTGCAGGTGAAAATAACTAGTGGGTGGCGCAATGTAACACGTGACCATTCAATGAGTCTGACTTGCACAATGAGGATTTATCAATTTTGAGATTTGTTTTTCCTTAGAAAGCGACGAATTTCATTTGATTTGGTTTTATCAAATTTACTGTAGGCACAGTATGAGAGAAATATTTTCTAATATGTGGACCATATTTACTTGGGAGAAGTAAATTATTTTCAATGGCTTCAAGTATCTTTTATAGTTTTTAGATTCAACCATTTTCAATCATCAAATTTGTGAATTAAATTGTGCGAAAAAACTCGGGAAAAATCATGAACATTCAGCGTCATTCAAATTACATTTTGCACAAAAATTATTATTTTTTAAACATTCGTTGTTTATAAATAAACAACGAATCTGAAACTGTTTAAACTTTTGGAAACCTGATTTTTTTACATGAAATGGATTTCTGGTAAAATTCTGATTATGGAAAAATTTATTCGGATTCCAAATAAATGTTTTCCATGGTGGAAAATTTATTGTTTATAAATTATTTGTAGAAAATGTTCGTAATTTTGAAAAATTGCAATTTTTGAGTTAATTCATCGATCTCCATTCAAAAGTAAACTTGCTAATTTTTTTCTAGATTTTTAAAATATTCTCTAACGGTTCAATATCGAGTTTCAAATTCAGACCTGTAAAGTTTAAATGTAGGGTCAAATGGGGCTCGAATGAAAACTCTAATGTTCGAATATAAAAATAGAAAAGCATTTCACTGGAGAAAAACCTATCTTTTTCGGTTTGGTACAGAATATACATTATACAATATAGATTTAAACATTCTCAATCATCAAATTTGTTAATTAAATTGTGAAAGAAAATTTTCAAAAAATCATGAATATTCAGCGTCTTTCAAATTACATTTTGTACAGAATTATTATTTTTTAAACATGCGTTGTTTGTAAATAAATAATTTAAAGTGTTCAAACTTTCGGAAACCTTTTTTTTTTCGGCATGAAATTGATTTCTGGTAAAATTCTGAATATAAAAAAATTTATTACAATTCCAAACAAATGTTTTTATGGTGAAAAATTGATTGTTTATAAATTATTTATAAAAAATGTTCATAATTTTAAAAAATGGTAATTTTTAAATTATTTCATCATTCTTCATCCAAAAGTAAACTTTCTCATTTTTTCCAGATTTTTAAAATGTTTTCTAACTGTTCAATATTGAAATTCAAATTTAAACCTGCAAAGTTTAAATAACGAAATCATTGTAAAATGTCCGGAAGCATAGGGTCAAATGGGGCTTAAATGAAAGCTCTGATGTTCGACTATAAAAGTAAAAAAGCATTTTCTATTGGAAATTTCAATAGAATCGGCCAAAAACTGATAGAAAATTCAATAGAAATCCAATAGAATGTCCTAACGAATTCGTTAGATTTTTTTATTAAATTTTTTCGTGGTTGCTATAAGCCCCTCAGGACGCCTAGAAAATTCCATCGGATTTCGGGATGTTGTATGAAACGCTGAAATTCTACTGATTGTTTGCCACAGCATAGTTGCGATCGTAAATTTTCTATTAAAAAAAAACGCACAATAAAACTGGAATTCTGCCATAAATTCGACCCCAAACTAATAGAATTTTCATCAAAGTTCAATAGAAATTCAACATTGACATTATAAAATTCCCTAAATGTTTCCCTCCCGCATATATAAATTTTTCTGCACATCCCGTCCTCCATTACCACCGCTTTCACTACAAATTGTCGCTGGCCCCCATCAAATTTCAATCACTGAACACTCGCAAGATTATAATTTCATGCACCGGGATGAGTCGCAAAACTGAATGTTCCGGAGAAAGTAAAAGTTGTCATCATGCCTAATGAATCGTGAAAATCACTCTCCCAGGAAAAAAACTCATTCGCAACCATTTTCCCAGTCACGAATCGGCTTTTTTAATACCGATCGATTATCGGTGTCGATCCGGTCGCGCTTGGATCGACAAGGTCGCCAAATTGACCGAGACTTTCGAATTCATCAAACTGATGCGTTGGAGTTTTATTTGCAAAGTGTGATGGCCAAAACGATCACTGAATGAGGAATCAATGTTCCACTTTTGATGACATATTTTTTTCGCTCTTCATTTTCATGAAATTGATTTTATGGATTTCAGGTCATTCAAGAGGTGTAACATGAAGTCGATTTTATGCCTTTTATTCTTTGGAATTGTTGCTGTTACGGCACAGAGGAGATTGGCTCTGCCTGATCCGAGAAGCTGCGCAAATCGTAAGTTTAATTCAATAGAAAAATAATTTTACTAAATAATTCTACTGTTTTTTATATCGGAAATCTATAGGAATTCCCTGAAAAAAATGAAAATTTCACAACTTTGCAACGTGTTTTTGAATAAATATATTTTTTTCCACTTGAAAAATTAATTATTAATTTTTTATACAACTTTTGCTATTGAGTTTTTTTCGAAAGGCATTCTGAGCATGAGCTTTTTCTCTTGGACTTCGTAATAACGAACAAAATAACTAGAGCAAAAATTTCTATAAATAAACCTACAGAAAATAATTTACAGAGAAAAATAAAAATCAATTGACCTTTTCTATCGAACATCTACAACAAAATCGCACCGCAAAGTTGTATACGTTTTTTAGAATTCCACGCATGGAAAAATTCAATGAAAAACCTAGCGAATTCTAGGAGAAATTCTAATTGGCTAGAAAATTCTACTAGCATTGTATGGCGTTTCTATAGGATTTCTATTGGAATTTTATTGAAAAATTCTATTTGTTTTTTGCGCTGATTCTATTGAATATTAAATAAGAAAAAGTCAATAGATTTCGAGTTTTTTTTTGAATTGTTCTCTTGAGATTATTTCTATTAGAATTATTGGACACAAATTGTCTAAGATTTTTCCGCTTGATTTCGTTTTGTTTCGCATTGCAGAATTCGAGTGGAAAAAATTCAGAAAATTGATGCCCAAGCATTCTTATAGAAAAAAGCTCAAGAGAAAAATTCAAACAGAAATTCGACATCTATTAACTTTTTCTTATCGAATGTCCAATAGAATCAGCGCAAAAAACAAATAGAATTTTCCAATAGAATTCCAATAGAAATCCTATAGAAACCCCCTAGAATTCCTGGAGAATTTCAATAGAATTTTCTACCGACTTCACTAGGTTTTCTATTGAATTTTTTCATCCGTGACCAATTGAAATCCTTTCTCTCTGAATTTTTCCATGCGTGTATGAACGGAATAAATGTTGAACAATGTTCTTAACTGATTCACTTACGACTGAATGAACGAATGAATGAATCAATTGTCCCATTGATTGAGGGAACATGATGAAAGTATATTCTTAATTCCGCAATTCGCCATGCATGTTTTTAAGAAATGAAAACCAAATTAAATTTGATGATTAGCTTCTCCGAATTTAAATTCATCCATTTCAAAATTGCGATGAATAAATCAAGAAAGATGACATTATGCTCATCAAGAAGGAAAGCCACATGAAATAAATTTCACATTTCCTTCACAAACCTCCGTTCAATTACCTCTCAATAGTATTTATCAAAGCCATCAAAGGTCGCGCATCCAAAGAGATTACATCCAAGATATTAAATACATTTCCCACAACTCGTAAATTCACTATCATTCCTCCATCAATTAACCACGTGAAAGTTGGCCGATTCCTCTCGTACACTTGACACGTTAAATTTTATTAATCACGTGGACAAAAAGAATCTCGTTAGGAAATTATGAGGATTTATGGCTCGCTGACTCTTCTGTTAAACTCTAGGTGTTCGTCATGCCTCGTACAGAGACGCGAGAGGTGTTGCACACTCTTACTTCTTCAGTTGGGAGCATCAGCCCACTAGGAATCTAGAGGTTGACTGGTTGGACGCACGTAATATCTGTCGTCGTCATTGTATGGATGCTGTGTCAATGGAGACACCGCAGGAGAACGAATTCATAAAGCAGAGAATTGCTAGAGGTAATGAATATGAAAATAATTATCGTTTGTTATTCCGAATCTTACGGGAACTTTCACTCTTTCCATCTGCAATTCAATGTTGAGCTACTGTTCAACGTCTTCTGTAAGAAGCAAATTTGATAGAGAAACTTCCTTTTGTGATAGAGATCAATTGGAATTCTGTGAAAAATTCTATTCGGTTCTTGCGCTAATTTCTATTGGAAATTATGAAGCATTGACGTGCGTTTCTAGATAGATATATTGGATAAAAAGACCCGGATAAACCAGACCCAGAGTTAACCCAGAGTTACACGGATTTTCGTATATGATATTCGGATATTTCTATACGCATTTTTTTATACAAATTATTTCTATACGATTTCTATAGGTTTGATCCTATATGACCCACTGCCACATGTATAGAAACATTTTGTATGGAGTTGCAATATTTCTCTACGTTTTTCTCTGGAGCGTTTAGATATCTTTCGCATGAAAACAAAAATTTATGTAAAAATTTCTGTATATAAACAATTCGGATAGAAAATATTCATATAGAAATATCCGAATATAATGTACGGAAATAGTATAGAATTTTCATACGCAATCCGTATAGAAAATTTCCATACGATTTTTTCGTACGTGTAACTCAGGGTTTGATTCACCAGGAGACTTCCATGATTAATAAGGTATTGAATCTGCTTGAATAATTTGTAAACAAAAATTATAAATTTGATTTTCTATCAAAAAATTGTGTGAAAAAAAAGGAAATTTTCTATAGGAATTTAGAAGAAACTAATGAAATGTCCAATGGAATTCCAAGCATTGGGTTTTCTATTGAATTTTTATCATGTGTGATGATTCCTATTCAAATCGTCCGTAATGTTCGGGATTTTACTTCTGAATGGAATAATTTTGCTTGGAAATCATCTAGAATGGTCTGAAACGTAAAAATCCAAAGTTTGATGATAATGTGTGTTCACTCGGTGGTCAGTTTTTAGAAAACCGAAGAATTCAAAGGGCTAACATCCTTCCAAAAATTGCGGGCGGCTGTATCTTCGATAGAACTGTCATAGTACGTGGATACGTCCATGGGCTTTCCTTCTTTCTCAAATTTCCTACGAACTCCTTGCATTCCCTCGAATTTTCTCGAAACTCTTTGAATTCTCCCGGATTTCCTAGAAACTCCCTGAATTTTCTCGAAATTTCCAAAAACTTCTCAAATGACCTCGAAGTGTCTAGAATTTTCTAGAATTCCGTTAGATGGCGCTGCACATAAGGACCGTTTCCCAAAATGACCCCCCATATTGAAGCCATAGACGTGTCCATGTCAAAAATCTCAGCCGGTTTGTGAGAAACCGCCATTTATGTCTAAATCGTTTTTCGCAAATATCTCCAACACTTTCGTATCTTCAATCCAGAAATGAAAAAAACTTGCAATTCTTCATTTTTACGCTTCATTTCCAATTCATCTTCACGACATAAAGAAATAGAAAGAATGAGAAGTAATTACGTCTGAATATCGTTCTCCTCGAAAGTAAAAATTCAATATAATAATAACCATTGAGTATGAAAGGATAAAAGACGATTTCGTTGAAAAAGAAACCTTCAAACATGAAATGAAATGAGTGAAACGACTCCTGATTTCTTTCTCTGGAACACTGGGTCGTGTAATTGTCTCAGTCTTCCCACTGAAAGATGACAATTAGTAAAATAATGAATGAAAAAGAAATGACAGGGGAATTTCTCTGGAGTTATGATTTTCCCTCGACACGATTTTTTTTATGACAATATGATATTAAATGGAAAGGGTAGAGCAATGTCCCCTTTCGCATCGTCGTGTCCTCGGAAATAAAGATTCACTTGTTCAACGAACGAAGAAAACGTCGCGCGATAATTGTATATGATTTTCTTCTTAACTTGTCGATTTTGAGATTAGGTCTTGTAATGTGATATGGCTACATTGTCGGTGACTGTAATTATTTCGTGTATGAGATGGTTGAGATAGCTAAAATGACTGTTGTGAAATGCTGGCAAGTACGGAAGAATTTCATAGAAAAATATTGCGAATTCACTAGAAAATTCTATTGGATTTCTATTCAACGTTCGATTAGTTTTTCACCGATTCTATTGAAAATTTCGCAACTCATTTGCGCAGTTTTCCAGTAAAAATGGGCAATGGGAAATATTATATACACTGAAAAAAAAGTCTAATATCTGAAACATATTTACTTGACACAAGTAATTTTTTGTTCAATCGGGTACTCGGGTATGGTTTTGTCTTTTTGTCGCAAATGAACTCATTCCAATTGCGTGGACGAAACGTCAATCTTCAAATTTAGAGAATTTATTCGGATTCCGTGAAGCGCAAACATTCTGAGTTTTAAGCCATTGAAAATGATTTACTTCTCTCAAGTAAAGTATGTCTACATATATTAGGAAATTTTTCTCCTAGTATAAAAAAATGAATAGACCTTGATTTTTCCCTGCAGCTTATTCTATTGAGAAATTTTTTAAAGAAATTTCTCAGCTTAAATTTTCCAAGTTTTTCCATTTGATTTTTCAAGTAAAAAGAGAAGAAAAATTAAACAAAAAAATGTTTAAAATTGAGAAGAAATTGTATGGAAAGATGAAATTGAACTTATTTTGATGGGATATATTCCATTGAACATTTCTATTTAAAAAAAGTGCCGGTGAGTTGCAGAATTTTTCAACAGAATCGGCCAAAAGCTAATAGAACTTACAATAGTATTTTCTAGCAAATTCACTAGGATTTTCTATGAATATTTTTTGTGTGTGGGCTATCGAGAAATTGAAAATGATTGAGGATGGTGACTCTAGGTAATGTGAGGTACATCTGGACTTCTGGACGAAAGTGCAATTTCAACGGCTGCGATAGGCCTGATCTCTTGCCCCAAAACATCAATGGATGGTTCTGGTCGGGATCTGGGGCGAAAATCGGACCGACTACTCAGAGGAACTCTGGGGACTGGAGCAACACTGGAGGATACGGACAGGCACAGCCGGATAATCGTGAAGCTGCACAGGTACGATCCGTTTTTTCTCAATTTCGTTATCACAGAATATTTACTTGTAATAATCATTCTTGTTCCATTCCCTTCATTCTAAATGAAAGGATTTATTTAGCATGAATCAATTATTTATTTCATATAATTAGAGCATTCTCTTCAAAGTTAATATACGAATTTATTTATTTCCAATAAAAATATTGTTGAAGTGAAACAAAAATTTTAAACGGTTTCACTCGCTACAATGCGTCCATCCTCTGGTTGCGGTGCTTCCTTAAAAAAATGCTATTCGTGACTTATTCAAATTTATTTGAAATTCTATTAAAAATTATGCCTTCAACGTTGCCGTACGTTTTACAATAGATATTTTTTTATGGAAAAAAGTCAATAGTTATCGAGTTTTCTGGATAATTTCCTCTATTGTAATTTTTTTATTCTTCGATTTGTATTTGAATATTAAAACTTCATTAGAATTCTATGATTAACATTAAAATTTTAACGAAACTCAGTGGAATTTCTTGGAAAAAGAAAAGATTCTTTCCTATTGAATACTTTCATGCGTATTACCTTAAACCGAAGCGCGTGGAATATTTTATTCTTTATAATCACACGCAAAAAAAAATTTTACAGAAAAAAGTAGCGAATTCGATGTAAAATATCTATTAAATCTATCAACATTTCTATAGAAAATATTACATTAGAATGAATTATATAAAAAATTCGAGTTCTGTTGATTTTTTCTATAAATCAATTCCATTGACCATTTTCGATGCATCGATTAAAAATTAACAGAAAGTTCGAATTCGCTAAGTTTTTCTATGAATTTTTTTATATACAATGTGAAGTATAAAACTGTCTAACGTGGACACCCTTAACTCAATTAGCGAGGTCAAGCCACCTCTTCAATATTAACCAGCCATAACAGAACGCAATTCTCCTTCAACATTTGACGATGCCCATTATCCTCTATCGTAGCAGTTAAAGATATATTACCTGACCGTTGCAAAATCCTGAAAATTATGTAACAGAAGTTGTAATAATTCGTGACTCAAGCAGTAGCTTTGCAGGCTTATTTAAATGATTTGGTAATAGGCTTAAATGGCTCCTAATGATGCCAATTATCCTGAGTATAAATCAAAGCATGAGTTGTGTAGTAGACAATTGATTACTCGGTTAATTCCAGTGCTCACATGTGGACTATCCAAGTACTTAAATACTTTCCCTGGTAAAACAGTCCGATTATTTCTGACTGGGTGATAAAAAATGAATCGGCGTTACTGATATTTCTGTCTTTGCCCGTTAAATTACGATTGGCTGGTAGGTAGAGTTTGGAGTTTGAGAAAATTATGAGAATTAATAGGATCAAGGGTATGTGGACGTTATCGTCCGATTACTTTCCAAAAAAGTGATTGATAGATCTCATATTGCTCATATAAATCTTTAATATTTATTGCTCTTTTAAATATTTATAGGCGTAATATGAGATCTATCAACAACTTTTTTGGAAAGTAATCGGACGATAACGGCCACATCCCCTTGTTCCCATTAATTCTCATAATTTTCTCAAACTCCAAACTCTACCTATCAGTCAATCGGAATTTAACGGGCAAAGACAGAAACATGATTAACGCTGATTCATATTTTATTACCCAGTCGGAAATAATCGAACCGTTTTACCAGGGTTAGCCCTTTAATACTTTAGTATTTTAGCAGTTTTTTTCTCAACAAAAATATTTAGAAAGTTGCCATCATTCAAAATTAGGGTCTTTTTCACGAATAATTGATGAACAATTAATTTTTTACCCTAGAGGTAATACACGAAGTAATTCAAGAATGAATAAATACGATAGATTTTTTTTCATGCGACTTATTCTCTTGAGATTTTTTCGCATAGAAATTCTTGGGATTTTTTTTTTCATTGAATACTTTAGCCCTTTAATACTTTAGTATTTTAACAGTTTTGTTCTCAACGAAAATATTTAGAACGTTGCCATCATTCAAAACTAAAGTCTTTTTCATGAGTAATTGATGAACAATTAATGTTCTCCTCAAAAACAATACACGAAGTAATTCAAGAATGACTAAATATAATAGATTTTTTTATGTGAATTATGCTCTTGAGATCTTTCGCATAAAAATTCTTCGGAATTATTGTTTTCATTACACAGTTTTACAAAATTTCGGCATTTTTTGACACAGAGATGAGGCTGCCACCATTAGAAAGATTTTTGCACGCTGATTTCAAATTCGCCGACCAAATCTCATGAAATGACCTAGTTTCTGAGAAAAAAAATGTTAATTTCGTCAAAATGGTCCAAAATCGACTGTTTCAAAATTTCATGAAGAAATAATGCCTGTGTCTATTGAGCTGAGAAAAATAGCAACGCAATGATCTGAAAATAGAGTTATAGGTGGAATAGGGTAATTTTAACCCCTCTCGTACGGCGTCGATATAATGCAACGGCCCATAAATTTGTCCTATCGGCCGGGGTCAATATATCGACCCTTTCCATCAACAGTAAAAAATCATTTTCTCAGATTTATTTATTTTTTTTCAATACATTTATAATATGGAAGTTGTTAGATGAAAATTTTACATCCAACCGATTCAATCACATTAAATCATCTCGTTTATCAACAAAATTTCCCCTAAAAATTTTGAAATTTTTACTGAAAATACTTCAATGATCCTTCTATCGAATGGCAGAAGTTAAATTTCGATTTGTTCAATAATTTGTTTGTTATAAATAAATTTAGCATGTTCGAAGATCTCGGTAACCAATTGTTGGCAAACATAGAAATTGGCGACAAAAATTAGAAAATTCTTTGGGAATTTATTTCGAAGTTCACTACAGCCAATGCATTTTATTTCAATTTTTTTCGTTGGACTGTTTTCAAGTTATCATTTGTTGAATAACGGAGTTGACGCGTCGTAAGTCTCCCGGTCGTTGGGACAAGCCGCGTTATATGGGCGCCGTACGTGAGGGGTTAATCAAAAGCAGGCAATTATTCACAATAAATTCCGCATCTTTTCAATAAAATGAAAAGGAATGAAAAAAATCTAGGAAAATTTCAGCTGAATGTCATTATTTATCTTTTTCGCACGAAACACCTTAAAGACTTTCTAAACTATTGTGAATTCTTCTAATCATATTCTCAATTCAGGGTAACGACGAATCTTGTCTCGCCATCCTTAACAACTTCTACAACGACGGAATAAAATGGCACGACGTTGCCTGCCACCACCTGAAGCCCTTCGTCTGCGAGGACAGCGAGGAACTCCTGAACTTCGTTGCATCGCGAAACCCCGGAATTCGTCTATAAGTGATTTAAGAATTCAAATTGGGTGAAACCATCACACATCTAGACAGATAATATGAAAATCAATCGAGACAGGTCTTCAGTTATCCCATGCATTACTGTAAACTATTTATGATATTCTAACTTGTAAGTTTCTGTCTTCCTTTCCGGTATTTTCTGATGTTCCACGCATGGTAATTTTGGTCTTGGTGATGAGTTTTTTCCTCACGAGGTCGGAAATATGATTCTCGGGTTACTGTTTGATTCAATACTCATGTACAATTCTATCAACAAGTTTTATTGTTTGGTCTTCTGTCTCTATTTTTTCTTTTGTAACAATTAGTCATATGATAGTTGGATAATTGTACATGTAGGATTCTGTATTTTTTATTATGAAAAGAAATGCAAATGTTTGTATGAAAGCGTTTTTCTCCTTTATTTTTTGTTATAATTGGGTAAACAGTAGTTTGGGGAAATTAATTGACAAGTATTGGGGGATTTAATCATGAAAGATAATAATTTACACACGAAAAAATTTCAAATAGAAACCTAGCGATTTTGATAATAAATTCTATTGGATTTCTACTGAATTTCTATTGAAAATTCTATTAATCTTTGGCCGATTCTGTTAAAGAATTCCGCAACTTTACTGCGCATTTTTTGATAGAAAATGTACAACAAAAACTGTTTTTTAGAAAAAAATCTATAGAATTTCTTTTTCTACTTGTTCTATTCAGACAAGTTTTTTATTTTTTTATTTTTCTCTTCTTTTCATACAAAAGGAGAGCAAATAAGAAAAATAAAAAAATTTCAATATAAGAAGTTGTATAGAAAAATCAATTTTTATTGATTTTTTCTGTAGAATATTGAACATTTCTATAGAAAAACTGCATAGATTAGCTGTGGAATTTTTCAACAGAATACGTCAAAAACTAATAAAAAATTCACCAAAAACCCAATAAAATTTTCTAGTGAAATCGCTAGGTTTTTCAATGAAGTTATTTCGTAAGTGAAAGTATTCAATTTGACTGAAACTTCAATTACATGAATTTAATCTCACTTTCAAAGCCCACGATTTTTTAAGAAAGTGACTGCTCTCATGAGTTTTGGCAAATTAAACGATTACAATGATTTCGCTGACCTTAAGAATATCAGAATTGTTTCGATTGAAATAAAAATTAATTAAAGGATTTAAGCAAAAGGTATTTATAATTCATGAGACTCAATTCTTGAGTCATTTGATGACAAATTCCGTCTTTAAATATATTACTTTGACATTTATGTAATTGAAAAAAAACGTAATGAAGACACTGATATCTCACGAAAGATAATTCGAGAATTATCATTTACTAGAATCATTTATAAAATGAAAAACATCATATTCGTCGCAAATAGTGAAACGTGAATAAAAATAAGTGAAAAAAATTTAATGAAAGGGATAATTTCATCTTTATCTGAACACTCTCAACGTCTGAAGTAGGCACTGGTATCGCTGCCATACCCCCTGCCATTTTGGTCATAATCAAGTGACATTGGTGTTGAGATTCTAGAGCTTGGAGTGAGAGTACCAGCAGATCTGGGAACTCTCGTAGCTGTTGGTACACGGAATGTACCATCAGGTATCCTTGGAGTGTGCAATCCTCTGATGGTGGAGCCTGAGACGTCTGAACCTTCAGACTCGTTGCCAGATCCTGGACGAAATCTGAACGGCCACGAGTGATATTAGAATGTGAGGAAATTACAACGTACGAAAAAATTTCATAGAAAAATTGAATAATAACTTAAGGATGTACTACACCCTTTCGGCCAAAATTTACCTTTTTTTTTATCTTTCTGGTAAATTATTGATCGGATTGACGTGAAAAAATAAACCGTTTCTGCGTTTTATCATTACTTAATGACTCACGAAATTTCATGATCGTGCAATCATTTTCCTGCATTTTTTCTAAAGTTTTGTGAATTTCCGAAAAGTTTTACAATAAACGCAGGAAAATGATTGCACGATCATGGAATTTCGTGAGTCATTAAGTAACGATAAAACGCAAAAACCGTATATTTTTTCACGTAAATCCGATCAATAATTTACCAGAAAAATTCAAAGGGTGTAATAGATCCTTAAGAACTAGTCGAGCGATTTCGATTTTTTTTCTTCAGTATATTCGTCTCTATGTCCTCTACCTAGATCAATCAAAACGTTTTTACCCATTCCTACAAAGTTTTCGAGATATCAACTGGTTTTTTCTATGAAATTGAACATTGCTTGAACATGTGAATTAGATTGGATAAAGACACTTGCATGTTGCGTGAATCTGTCTGATTCTTCCCAAATATTATATTCTGCTTGGAAAATGTCACTCGACCACTTCTTGTTGGCTCCTTGTAGAATGCGTGGTCTCGAGCATTGTTCTGGGCAATCAAGTCAGCGTAATCTGTCTTCAGTGCGTTGTACTCTTGATTCAATTTCTCAACCTGTTTAGCCACTTGCCAGTATGCAGTCTTCAGTGCCAAGTACTTCTGAGCCTACAGAATTAAGGATGTTCATCCAAAATCGCAAGTACTTGAAAAAATTGATTTTTTAAAACTGAGAGATGAAGATATTCCCTTCACTTTGATACAAATTTCAATCCACCAATTCATGTTCATTATTTAGATGTGAAATAGACAAAATGCAACAAATGCATGCGCTAACAAGCGCTTGTATGGGATAGAATTACTCAAATATTTCCTCTTTTTGCTCGGGTATCCCAGATTTTTCTCTGGCCATTGGATTCAGTATGATTTTACACCCTACCTTCTATTTTTACTTCTATTTTTAGTCTTCTAGTAGGTGAATTATCAATTTGAAAATAAATTTCATAAGAGCCCGTGCATAAGGAAAAATTGGTTTATTCATTTCTGCCGAGACTATTGCGAGATTATTTTTTTTAACGTTAGAAAATTTAGTTTTATATCTTCTGCTGTCAGCCGAAAAAATTACAGAATTTGCCTTGACCATGAAAAAAAACATTTACCGACAATTTACCGACACTGGCTAAACAACCTTAGAGGAGGGTGGGGTAAAATGGACACTTAAAGTTTTTTTAAAATTATTCATAATTTCGAAAAAAATTTATTAATTGAGCTCTGTTTAGGCTCATCACAAAGGGAAAGAATTGTTGTTTATATTGAAAAAAAAATCATTAAATTTCAGCAATATTTTAACCTGTCATTAACATTTAAAAAAAAGTCAAAAGTGTCCATTGTACCCCAACCTCCCCTAATGATTTCAGCAATAAATTCACTTCTAAAAGCAAGTAATCCTCGTTCATTTTTTAATTCTCTAAAAATTCTCTTAAGACAATCTGTTTGTTTTTATAAATTTCAAATGAAGTCGGAACAGTAGATTTGATCCAATTCAACTCATTATTTTAATCTAGTGCCCATATTGTCCCCCCCCCCNTCTCCCCCCCTATTTCTCCCGGAGATATTGATCGAAACATTAATTACCAGTTCCTGCTCACGATGTATTAGAATACTCAATTGATATTTCTGGAATTTAGCAGCCAATGCGAATTTCTCTGCTACTGTAAAAACGTCCTCGAATATGGGGACGATCATTGGCTGGAGTGGTGTTGTGAGGCAGACGGATTCGACACCATGTGCATTGCAGACTGGACAACGATCTCCAACTGTGAGAACAAAGAGAATTGATATAGCCTTTTGTCCCAATACCGCCTATCCCCCATTGAATGGATGAATTGTTGTCTCACCTTTGGCGATGCATTTTCTGCAGAACAGGTGACCACACTGTGTCAATGAGAATGGAGATTTTGCCTCTCTCAAGTGAACAAAACATTTGTTGCACAGGAGCCAAGTGAGTTCCATGTTCGACAGAATAAAAATTCCGAAATTGCAGGAGGTGAATGATAAAACGTCCTTCAAACGCGATCGCTTCGAAAGAAATGGACGCCGGGACTTTCCAGATAGTTTCCCTTAGGGTCCATCCATCTTCTGATTGGTCGAAAAATGGCGCGGAGGGAATAAACGGGGGGTGAACAGAAACGGAGGAATAGAACTGTGTAGATAGAATGAAATTGTCTACATGAATTTTTAGAATTGTTTTCTTTTAATAAGCACTAGATTTATGCGCGCGCTTATCTATCTGTTGTGAAAATGAAGAAATCGAATTTATTAAACTTCATATACTCATAGATGCTTTATAAATATTGATAATGACTTGAAAAGAATTAAGAGAGTGAAGAGTGACACCTCAATGATTAATTTTTAATCTTCGATTAAATCTTTTTTTTACTTTTTAAAATAATCTGATTAAAATCTGTAATTGTTGAAAAATGAGGGGAGGGTTATGAATTAATTTCCTAGAAAACTGAAAAATTTTCTTGAATTAGGAAAATTTTACAGTTTTCCAGATAACAGCAGATCTTCAAAGATTTTTCTCGAATTATTTGGGAAACCGAAGAATTTCCATGAATTTTGTAGAGTTCAGAATTTATGTATGAAAATCTGAGAAGCAAGAATTGATCATTTTTGCGTATGATAAATATGGAAAAATTAAAATTTGGAAAGTGAAGAATAATTTGTGAGTTAAAAAAAATTATAAATACTGTTTTTTTCTCATGATTAACAATTAGGCAATTTAGATATGTTTTGATATAAAGATAAACTTTACATATGAAAAAATGATAAATATGACGCAGAAAACATTTTCGGCATTTGAAAAATCTGAAAATACCGGGGATTTTTGTCAGCGACTACTTCACGTGACTCATTGACCAATCAGAATTGAGGATTAGCGGTCAGGCAGTTTCGAGATATTTCGATATAAAACAACTTCACGTTTCTTTCATCTTTAGTAATAGTATATTTCGTCACTAGGCCGAAAGAAACTTTTCTGGCGAATATGAGTTTGCAGCCCGAGCCGAAGGCGAGGGCTGCAATCATATGAGCTAGAAAAGTTTTTTTTGGCCGTATGACGAACAGTATTTTTTGTTATGAGGCCCTTTTCATGTGGACGCCCACATATACACTTGAGCGCTCAAAAACCATGATTTATATGTAAATTCGATAAAGTGTCCGCAAATCCTAGGGGAATTAACATAGGAAAAAAGCGTCTNTTGAAAAATGAGGGGAGGGTTATGAATTAATTTCCTAGAAAACTGAAAAATTTTCTTGAATTAGGAAAATTTTACAGTTTTCCAGATAACAGCAGATCTTCAAAGATTTTTCTCGAATTATTTGGGAAACCGAAGAATTTCCATGAATTTTGTAGAGTTCAGAATTTATGTATGAAAATCTGAGAAGCAAGAATTGATCATTTTTGCGTATGATAAATATGGAAAAATTAAAATTTGGAAAGTGAAGAATAATTTGTGAGTTAAAAAAAATTATAAATACTGTTTTTTTCTCATGATTAACAATTAGGCAATTTAGATATGTTTTGATATAAAGATAAACTTTACATATGAAAAAATGATAAATATGACGCAGAAAACATTTTCGGCATTTGAAAAATCTGAAAATACCGGGGATTTTTGTCAGCGACTACTTCACGTGACTCATTGACCAATCAGAATTGAGGATTAGCGGTCAGGCAGTTTCGAGATATTTCGATATAAAACAACTTCACGTTTCTTTCATCTTTAGTAATAGTATATTTCGTCACTGGGCCGAAAGAAACTTTTCTGGGGAATATGAGTTTGCAGCCCGAGCCGAAGGCGAGGGCTGCAATCATATGAGCTAGAAAAGTTTTTTTTGGCCGTATGACGAACAGTATTTTTTGTTATGACGGCCTTTTCATGTGGACGCCCACATATACACTTGAGCGCTCAAAAACCATGATTTATATGTAAATTCGATAAAGTGTCCGCAAATCCTAGGGGAATTAACATAGGAAAAAAGCGTCTGCAAATCTAGTGACTCTCAGAATGAAAAGGTCCATTGAATACTTAATAATTTAACAGAATTATAATTTATGGAAATTGCTATCCCTGTTCTTGAAGAATCATCCAATTGGAAATATACTATCTTGGAGATTTCACTATGGAAAATTAGCAGATCCATTTCGGGATGTAAATTGACGAGTAGAGGCGGTAAAGCTTGAAAGATGGCTGACAAAATTTTGCATCACTTTACCAGGTTTTGTGAAGATTGGTGAAGTTAGAATCAATTTATTATTGAGGAATATAATTAATTGAATCGAAACCCGCTGCGCTCCGCTCCGCGTCCGTGAATCTCTGCCTCACGGCCAGAATGACAAACAATAGGATTACTTTATATCGATGAAATTACTTTATCGACTCGATCATTGCACTGTTGAGCCAATGAAGTAGTTTCATAAATAAAATATTGCAGGAGAAACCACAATTCTAAAAGTTCATATAAACAGAGGGGTTCCGTTTGACCTTCAGCCGACATCATTCAATGGTGTTATTCGCAAACAATTTTTGGAATGTTTAATTATTTATGAAGATTGTTTGATGATATGTAATTCGCGATGTTAAATGCGCGAGGCGGCGGTGAACCTTTTACATAGCCCCGTAAAGTTGGGCATTCAGTGCCCACGCAATGAAAAAAATTAATAGAAAAATCGCTAGATTTCCTAAGTTGTTTTCATTCAATTTTTCTTTCCTTTTCATCAAGAAAATCAAACAAAAAAACTTGGAAAATTTGAGCCGAGGAAATTTCTATAGCAAATATCTCAATAGAGTTGTATAGAAAAGAAGTAGAAGTATAGAAGTTGTATAGAAAAGTCGAATTCCCATTGACTTTTTGTATAGAATATTTCCTATTAACCATTTCAATAGAATCGGCCAAAAAATGATAGGACTCCAATAGAATTGTCTAGCGAATTGGCCAAGTTTTTCTATGAAATTTTTCCATGCGTGTCCTCGGACCAATATGGCGACTATGCCAAAATTATGTGTTTTGTCTGCTTCATTTCTGTGCAAACCAAAAAAATTTGCGTTTTTTCAGCAAAAAAAATATACATAAGATATTAAATGAGATCAACAAAGGTGGAACGGGGGCAACTTTTTATTGATACACACAACTGGGGCTGGGTTTCGATTCAATTAATTATATTCCTCAATAATAAATTGATTCTAACTTCACCAATCTTCACAAAACCTGGTAAAGTGATGCAAAATTTTGTCAGCCATCTTTCAAGCTTTACCGCCTCTACTCGTCAATTTACATCCCGAAATGGATCTGCTAATTTTCCATAGTGAAATCTCCAAGATAGTATATTTCCAATTGGATGATTCTTCAAGAACAGGGATAGCAATTTCCATAAATTATAATTCTGTTAAATTATTAAGTATTCAATGGACCTTTTCATTCTGAGAGTCACTAGATTTGCGGACGCTTTTTTCCCATGTTAATTCCCCTAGGATTTGCGGACACTTTATCGAATTTACATATAAATCATGGTTTTTGAGCGCTCAAGTGTATATGTGGGCGTCCACATGAAAAGGGCCCACTTTGACGGTATTGGAGTTATGTATGTTCCGATAAGATTGATCAGATTTCTCACATTTTGAGCCCAAAATCAACCCGATAGAATGAAAACTGACGTCAGTATAGACGATCAAAAAAACAATTTAACATTGGTTTAAATGGGAGATGTGGAGAGAAAAACGTGAATATCTCGGAAACTAGATGCTACAAAGTGGGCCCTTTTCACGTGGACGTACACATATCATTGTAAAGTTCAACATTTATCAGAATTTTCCATGGTTTTTTCGGAGATTCTTTCGTTGAATGAACGAAATAAATATTTCCCCTACATTTCCAGAATGAAAAGGTCTATTAGTTAATATCACTCTTAAATTTTAATCATTAAAGTAATCATTAATTTACATAGTAAAATTTCGAGTTATTCATTAATCAGTAATTGTGTTAGGGAGATTGATGATTATTCGGGTAATCGGAAATCCCTTATCAGAAATTCAGTATTATCTGCTCAATAGAAAAATTTATAGTTCCATCTTGTTAAATATTTAATTCATCATCAGGGTTGGGCATATCTCGCAAACGGAAGTTTATGACGTGACATTGTCAAATACCGGTAATTTACCTCTGGGGCGTCAAAAATGTCAAAAAGTGTCAGAAAGCTCTTTACAAGGAAGCTAAGCTAAAAAGTCACAAGGGTCAAAAGTGAGAGGGACATCGGCCGGAAATCGTCAAGATCAAACGATCACGAGGGTTATCCTCGCGAAAGTTAAACATCGCAAGGGTTATGCCTTCTTAGGGTCAAACGTCGCAAGGGTCAAACAACGGAAGCAATCCTTTAATCTGGACGGTGAAACTAATAAGAGGGTCAACGGGGGACGCCAGGCGGTACAATTACAAGGTTCCAACGGTCATAAAGTTTAAACAAAAAAAGCAAGTAGGTTCACAAGGGTCAAACAGGTCACTAGGTCACGGCCTAGTTATCCTGATTGACCCTTATGATTTACCTACTTTGTGATTGTTTCTTGATCGTTTGTGATTTTCCTGCTTGCCTGCGTCTTAATTTTAACTCTTGCGATTTTTCAACTTATCTCTCCTGTAGGCAGAACAATGACAAGGGTGGAATGATCATGAATTAAGAAAAAATAATCTGAAACTATTCCGTTTGGTCTTTGTTGCAACAGCTTATGATCATTTGACGCTCGCAAGTTATGATTGTGACGTTTGACCCTCGCAAGTTATGATTGTCACGTTTGACCCTTGCGAGGTATGACCTTTGCGACGATTGAACCTCGCGAGGCATAACCTCAGTGGGTATGATTTTTTCGAATTTTTACCCTTGTAACTCTGACAGGCGGTATTCTCGGTAAAAATCTCCCGGTTCCCCAAGGTGCTAATAGATGGCGCTACATAGGTTTTTGACAGGTCAAAAAACCGACAACTCGCCCGGGTAATTTACCTACTTTATGACCGGTCAAAAACCATGTAATTTACCTAAGGTAATTTACTTGCCCAACCCTGTTGCCAGCCCTCCCGCTTTAGCGGTAGATTTTTCATAGAGTAATACAGTAATCGCTATTTGCTAAATTCTAATTTTTATATAAATTTATTATTCTTTTATAAAGAAATTTTTTGTTTTCCAATTTTTTTTCACATTGGTGCAATTTCCCGTGCGTCTAAGTGCAGAGTGGCGACACCTCTGATCACTGTCGCGAGCTCAATCAGCGTGGTCACAAGTGTACAGCCATCTTTATTGTCTAATCGACGACTCAACTACTCACTTTGGCGTTGTATGTTTCCTCTATTCTTTCTTGTTCATTCCTCTTCACAGTAATAAATAATCCCTAAAAAAAGAAAAACAAATGTTTTTGTAAAAAAACTGCGCCAAGAAAAAGTTTTGTTTGGTTCTTACTGGGAAGTAGAAATTTTTGAAAAATACAAAGAAATGAAAAAGAAAGCCAAGTCAGCAATGTCGAATAAACGAAAATAGTGCACAATCAGATTTCTATAAGAGAAATTGTTTCAAATCGAATGAGGATTTTAAAAAAATTCTTGATGAAATAAAAAATTAGTAGAAGGAGGACCAACGCCTCTGGCGCGCATCAGAAGATGGAGAATTAGATTAATACTAGACCACGAGTTGAAAAACTCGGCGCCAAGAACGTTGGTCCTCCTACTAATTTTTGATTTCATCAAGAATTTTTTTACAATCCTCATTCGATTTGAAACATTTTCTCTTATAGAAATCTCATTGTGCACTATTTTCGTTTATTCGACATTGCTGACTTGGCTTTCTTTTTCATTTTTTTTTATTTCTCAAAAATTTCTACTTTCCAGTAAGAACCAAACAAAACTTTTTCTTGGCGCAGTTTTTTTACAAAAACATTTGTTTTTGTTTTTTTAGGGAGATTTCATTATTTTTTTCAAAATAAACAAGGAATCGTTTTTATATCCTGTAAATTTTTTCATTTTCAATTCAATTCGGCTCATTTATTTTTCACACGATAAATCATCTTTCCAATTAACAATCGAAGTAAAACAAATAGTTCTATTCCACAGTCGTTATTTGCACCGACTTTTAATTATTTATTCAAGATTTTCCGACTGAATTTGCTTCTTCGAGAATTCATTTGTGCACGGAACTCGATTGAAAAATATCTGTGGAATTCACCATTCGTGCACCATATTCAATTTGTAAATTCCCGGGCTTCCCTCCTTGGTGCGCGTGGTTGTATTGCACTGCTACCAACTCCGTAACAAAAAAATGATAGGAGTTGATATGAAATGCGAGAATGTACATGTGAACCCGTTGCTATGCGCGTATTTTCTTAAATATTGCTTCGAACAAAAAAATAGTTACATCAATGAGAAGCTTGTGGCCAATTTATAGAATGTAACTAAGAGTATTTTTCATGTAGCTCGTCACGTTTGTATTTTATTTAATGGATATGATTCGGAGGTAGTGGAGGGGGTTCGATTATGCCCAATGTCTGCTTAATGAAAAGTTACACTATACAAAAATTATTTTCAAACTGTTTCCTAGCCTCCCGCTTTCACCCCCACTCCTATCGCTTTATCGAGGTGGCGCCTCCAGTTTTTTCCGGATAGGATTTGGCAACGCTGTCTTGAAGAGGTATAATCAAGGTTAGAAGCCAGGCACGAGATTTTTTACTGCATGCAACTGCATGTAACATTATTCGACAAAAGTATTCCCAATTCAAGGTATAATTTATGCTTAATTACTACAAATATCAAATTTCAATTTTACTATTCACCGATGATCAATAATACTTGGTAAATATCATTCGATGTGCGAAAAATTAAATTTCCAGAAAATTGTCACAATGTCAACCCCAGTTCCCCACCAGTGTAGCGTCACCGAAGTCGAGTCCCACCACTTCACCTACAAATGGACGATAAAAGATTTCAGACTTCTTCCCGAGCAGAACGAAGAGCCCGTCGACTCCCCGAACTTTCGTGTGACTGAGAACGACGAAGTGGAATGGCAGCTGCAGTTGTACCCACGAGGCAGGAGCAAAGACGACAGTGATCATGTATCACTCTACCTCTTCCTCGACACAGTATGCGACCAAGAGACATCAATCATAGTGCACTGTGAGCTTTCGATCTTGAAGGGAAAAAGTCTCATGTTCAAGAACACGTTTGTGTTCACGTACAAAGGGAAAATTGGCTACGGTTTTCACAAAGCGGTGGAGAGGTCCCAGCTCCTGGGGACGAGTGACTCTGATGATTTAATAACTGTTTATTGTGAGATTGACATCCCCAAAAGGAGCGTCACAAAGTCATTCAGTCCAGCGTCTTTTGATCTACAGAGGGGACAACTGGGCGAACAGTTCTCTCAGCTGTTCGAGGACACACGGTTCTGTGACGTCACAATAATTGCAGGAGAGAAGAAGTTTCGAGCTCACAAGGTTGTCCTGGCTGCACGCAGTGCCGTGTTCTCGGCGATGCTCGAGCAAGCAGGAACGGACGAAGTTCCTAAGGATATAGTGAAGATTGAGGACATGGAGCCAGCAATAGTCAGAGGAATGTTGGAGTTCATCTACAGGGATAGGGTGGCAAATCTGGAAGTACTGGCACGTGATCTGTTGATGGCGAGTGCCAAGTACGAGCTGGATCGTTTGAAGATTATGTGTGAGGAGGCCATTTATGGGACTCTCACTAATGACACCGCTGCTGAGATCTTTGTGCTCTCTGATCGTCACAGAGCACTGCAGTTGAAGAAGTACGTCATGGCGTTCATCGATGATCATCTGCTCGGGGTGACGCAGTCAAAGGGGTACAACAGCCTGGCGGAGAACTATCCGGGGCTGTTGAAGGAGTTGACGTCTTTTATTGCTGTTCGCAGGCAGTCCAAGATTTGACTTTTGTTTCAATGAGATTAACGGTTGTTTGGTGTTTTAGCAGAGTAATTATGCTTCTTACTGCTTTATCTTGTGAGGTTCAGTACTATTTTATTGTGAAGTGTTGGAGCTGATTGGCTTGTCAGTAATTTTTTTCAGCGTTATGTAATAAACATGTGTTTTGGTAATAGTCACATTTCTATTCATTAAGTAGGGGACGGTGGGGCAAAATGAAACACGGGGCAAAATTAAACAGCAAGAAAATCTTGTGATCTAAGGGAGATAGGACGATTTTCATGAAAACCTTTTTTGTAGAGAATTTTACAAGCTACAAAAAAGGTCCTCTTCAAAAATGTCCTATCTCCTTTAGATGACGAGATTTTCCCACTGTTTCATTTTGCCCCGTGTTTCATTTTGCCCCATGCTCCCCTAAACGAATTGTATTTGTCAGCATGAATTTGAATTTGTATTTCCATCCTTTCTCAAACGTCTTCCAATAAAAAAAATGTAAAAATATGAAATGAACAGTGAAAGACAATGTCGAACTTTACGATTCTTAAGATCCTGACAATATCGTTCTACGCAAATTATACATGTTTTACCACCGTCTACCTTAACTTTAACGATGCTCAGGAGAGAAGTGGGATATTCGAAAAATGTAGCCAATTTCATGAAATTTTTTTCACCCCTTGTAAAATTTCAGAAACCCCAGGTTCAGGACAACAACACAAAAGAATTCTAAAGTTACTACGTATACATGAGGTTAAAAGAAGCATCGATAACTCGTACATTTTTCCTACATTATCGACCAGTCGGCAATGTGGAAAAAATAGTGAAATTATCGATGACCCATTTAACCTCATATAAAAGCAGCAATTTTTAAATTGATTTTTGTTGCTGTTCTGAACCTGGGGTTTCTGAAATTTTGCAAGCTGTGTCTAAATGGATTAAATAATATGTGAAAAAAGTTTCATGAAATTGGCTGCATTTTTCGAATATCCTACTCCTCGCTTGAACATCCTTAATCCAACAAAGCACTCACCGCCCAAGTTTTTTTTTTAACTTGCAATAAAACCACAAATCTACCATCGAACACATCACGGATTGTGTGTAATCAAGCTTATTATATTGAGGATAGCGGCGGTCCGGGGTTTAAATTGAAGTTTTTAATAAAAGATCGAAGATCGAAAGGTAATTATTACATCTATATAATAATAATCCGATAAAATTTTTAGCCTCAAATTCTCAATTTCTGTTATTGATTTTATTCATTCTATCAAAAGACAAGGATAAAAATTGAATTTACGGGTATTCTTCCATTATTCGAAAAAAATATCAATTTTAGAACTCTCCGGAGACATTGAAAAATTAATTTTCTTTAGTTCTTCCCCCGGAAGTTTTTTAGAGTTTCTCTTAGAGATTTCGCTATCTCTCGCTAGTAAATTTTTTGTTGGCGATCTCGAAATCCATTTAATATACTTCCGTTATTTAATTGATAGAATCATCTGGGGAATAATAGTACTCAGTGCATTATCCTGTGCAGCAGTTCTGATGCACACCGCCTGGGTGTACAACTCATCTTGAGCATCATTGACAGTCATCGAATCGACTCACAAGGGAATCTGGAATTATCCGTTTCCAGCGATAACTGTCTGCAATCTCAACCGCATCTCCTTTAATAGGACTAGAGCGTTCGTTAATGACCTGTAAATAAATCAATTTTTGGCAATTCTTCATCGAAATTTTCAATTTCAATTTTACTCGGAGATCAGTTGTTGAACTCGGAGAAATAATTTATTTGAAAACTATCATTCAAACTTCAACTTGATTTTCATTTGCAATTCTATTAACATCTAATGAATAGTTTGTTCAATATATAAACAAATGTTTCGTTGGTCCAAAGACTTGATTATACAGCAGAGAAAACAAATTTTTAATCCTTTATTAATAATAAAAAAAATCCTTTATTTGGATCAATTGATTTATGTAGAATTAATCAGTTATTTATTTCATATAATTCAAACATGTTCATTGAAATAAATACATGCGTTTATGAATTGCTAACAAAGACATTATTGAAAAGAAATAGAAAAAATTTAATGATGGTTTCAACCGACGATGGTGGCCGAGTGCGGTTAAATTCCTGGGCCGGATGGCGGGACCCGTAGGGAGCGGGTTTGAATCCGGTTTGGGCGCTGGGCTTGGGCCGAATTGGGATTTTTAATCTTTTGAAAACCATGAACGGGAGTCTAGACACCGGAAATCATCGAGATTGAATGTTTGGGGAACATTCTCCGATGGTATCCGGTCGATGGACGTCCATGTCGGCCAAGGTTTTCCATGGTTTCCCTTGGTCACCAGGAGAGTCTGTACATGGAGTACAGGGAGCCTATTCTCGAATTGAAATCGTGCGATCGAATTCGACAAGTCGTATGCGACTCATGGTATGCCTTATGGGTCGCCCCAGTTCCTGGGGTACAATGCGACATGGTGGGGGAGGAAGTCGGCCCATGACACCGCAATAAGCGATGAGGGGTAGGATGGGACCATAAAAAGCCTAATCGGCGATATGGGAATGGAAAAAAATGAAAAATTTTAAAAAATACGAGAATCGTCAATATGAGGATTACCAATAACGCACAGATTTTTTCAGTTCTGTTTAAATTGATAAAACTCTCGTTGAGAGTTGAGCAATTGTTTGATGGACTCTTTGTTATTGTTACAAATTGCGATACATAATAAATGAAAATACTATGAATGTCGTTCGACGTCGTATAAACAATTAAAATGATAGGTGATACGTCGTTACGAAGATATTACTAGAAATTCCTCAATCAAATGCTGAGGACTCTTGTTGGGGATGAATTTATATCTATAATTCATCGCATAGAATTTAAAACCGTCATGAAAGACATGATTGTTTTCACCATCTGTTGAAAAAAATTTTCGCTAAGAGTTCATATCACTTTCAATTTTTCATCTTCAATGTTATATAATTCTGCTCTCACCGCTCCGAAGCTTTCCATCGACATTGTGTATAATTTTCCTGCCGTTAGTCGACAGGGTTTCATACTCCTCACCATAATGGGGATGAGGATTGATTGTAATGGACTCGGCGAAAGGTACCATTTGCTCTGATATCTGAGAATTAAAGTACAGAGCGAGTGCTTAAACGGTGCCAATATTTACGAAAATGACAAATTTTCTGATATATACTAACGTTGATAGAAAGATATGTTCGCTGTGCACTATGAGATTATGTCCTAACCAACTACTCCAAAACAGATGCGTAAGAGCACACATGTTGACAATTGTAACCCTGATCATTTCATTTGGATGAGACATTTTGACGACAGCCTCAAATAATAATAATCTATTATTACCACAAGTTCTCAGACAAATGGGGAAAATCATGCATGGCAATATACCGAGGAGCTACACGGAGAGAAAAATTCAAGAAAAATTACGGAACAAGTCACGTAATCTGCCAGCGAGAGTCGTTTTCAGTTAATTTTTAAGGGAATGAAAAATAATAAATCTGAAACATTCAGTAAATTCTGTGGTCTGTAACTGAAAAAGTACGGGGCAGGCACATAATTTTTCTCCCTAGGGATGACAAGTTGGAAAATTTAACCCACATTTCACGATTTAATACGGCTCGAGCCGTAAGAATTCACGTAGAACTTCAAAGTTTTTACGGAACTGGCGGGAAATTTTTACGGAACGTTCCGTAAATTTTCACTGTGTCATCCCTTCTCTTACCCCCAATCGTGGATGATCGGACATCCTCAGACCTTTTCGGCAAGTTCGAGACAGGGAGATCGTGAAATCGCAGACAGGGAAATCGCAGCAATAGTGGAAGTGAAAAGTGACAGAATTATAATCAGGATCAGGAGTTATTAATTGCAAGTATAATTTTTATATGTGGTCACTTGTTAAATAATCAGTTATCTAAGAGGTTACTCTACGGCCGGCTTTGCTAAATAGTTTGCATCCTTGCATTCTAACCTCAAACACTCACGTGTTCCAAGCATGGTGAACACGTGGGTGCAACTAATTATTGAATTAAAATAATTATTCCTTAGTGTCGAGTCAAAAGTGTTTTTTTGAATAAGTTTTGTCCCCTGATCCATTTATAAATTCCCTCCCACCAGCAATTCATGTATGTGATAAAGGTTTTTCTCATTTTTTTTCATTGTGCACGACTGAATCTATGTTTTGTGTTTTTTTAAATTTTTTTCCAGTTCATAAAATCATGGTAAGGAAATTGAGCAGCGAGAGAAGAAATTGGACATCTCATTAAGCATTTATATCTTTTTTTCAATCAATATTTTTTTGCATGCATTTCTGTCGCTATTTTATTTTCTTCGAAATCAGTCGTGGTGTTTTTTTCATTCTTTGACTCTAATCCCAATGAACTGTACTCTTCCGTATACTATTATATTCCTAGTATTCCTTTCTCATTTCCATTTTCATAATTGAAAATAAAAAATCTATATAGTCGAAAATAAATATTTTTTAAGGCTGCAGAGGGCTATTTTGCGAGGCCAGAGATTACCCAACACGTAAGTTGATTGATTTCAGAGTTGCAAGTGGCTAGCTCCTCTTGAAAAATTTCTGAAATGTGTCTGATTTTTTCTTTTGATTTTAGCCGTTATTTCAAGAATTTTTAGATACGGATTTTAAAACAGATATCAAGGCATACAAAAATGAGGGAAGACTACAGAAAATTTCAAGAAGTTTACTCAGTCGGACAATAATTAGAAGAGAAAAGGACAGGCAATTTGATAGAGTATACAGGGAGGAAGGGCTAATCTCTTTGAGATCTTTTCGAATTACGAAAAATCAATTCCAGACCTGGGCTCGTCAAATCAGCGAGGTGTTCATTGGCGAGAATCCTCGAGTTTATTATAGAGAATACAGGAGAGCCAATGATCGAAGGATTCCTATAGCTGGATGTCTCTATGAACACTACGATTACATTAAAAGAAAGTTGAGAAGGAAGGGGTTATTTTTGTTGGCTGAGCATGTTAAGGAGTCCTTTATTACCAAAATCGTAAGGTCTGTGAACGGAAAATATATCCTCAAAGTATGGGATTAAATTCAATTTCTATTCTTTAAAATTACCTTTCATTTCTTCCTTTGTGTTTTTTTTAATGAAAAATAAATAAATTATAAAAAACAATGTTTCAGATTTTTTCATCTCGTTAGTTTTCAATAAAAAAAAAACGCGTCAAGTAAAAATTCAAGATCGTTCAAGAAAAATTACGTGCCTCGAGCTTAAAAATTCCCCCCGCCGTGAGTCAGCAGTCGAGTAACGAATTTTTACGGAACAAATCGTAAAGTTTCAGTTCTGACTCACACTTCTTATGGAATTCGAGTTCGCTGGCAGGTTACGTTTTGAAACGTAATTTTTACGGGACTTCTCTCGTAATTTTTATTGAATTTTTCTCTCCGTGTACTCACTCCATAATTGAGTGACACGATAGCTTCGAAATGAAGTCGATTTCACGTGATTACACCATTACGTGATTTCGGGAAGAAGATATTTCAATGACTTCAAGCATCATGCAAAATGATTTCATAACAGCAGTTGATTTTGAATCGATTGGTTCACAGAGTGACACCATGATTTCAGGAGTGAGTATTTCTTCGTAATGTACTTACTGCTACCCCAGCAGTAATGATCAATATCATATTAACTGCGACAATGATCAAAAGGGCAAAGCTATATGCGGCCTCTAGTTTTTCAATGAACCTGTCAATAAACAAATGCCTATTCACTTTATCTGCGAGTGCTTCGATTAAGTTAGCTCACTTGAAAATTTCAGTTTGAAGGTCCGAGGATGTCCTTATCCGATTCATTACTATCTCAAATTTTATTGGGCCTTGCGTGGTATTCTTGATATGTAATGCTTCCAGACGTAATCTGAAAAAGATAAGTAAATATCCTGTGCTGTAGCCCAACCGATTTAAAAGTAAAGGTCTTACTTCAAAATTTCAATCATTCCACAGGCGTGATGGATCAGAGTTGCAAACAAATTATCGAAAAAAACGGCGTATGACAGCCCAACAGGTACTGTCAGATAAGCATGAATCAATAGATGCACGTAATATTTGTCTTGATCAATGAAGAATTCTGTGTGATAGAGAGGTATCCGAGGACGACTTCCATTTAGCGGTTTTATTATATCCAAAATTTTCGGAACCGCAGGTGAACAGAAATAAAAGAGGAGAACCGAGTAGCAGCATGCTATTCCATAATACCAGAATGTGAGGAATTGAAAAAATTCTTCAAACTCTAGACTAATATTGAGGGAATTCATTTATCCGTCATAAAGCTCTTCTCATTTCCGTGAGTCTACAATATTATGATATTTCGAAAAATATCACAATTTTCTAGACATTTCAATTGAGAAATTCAGTGTGCTTCCAAGTATTGTTCACTGAGTCAGTCAATGAAAAGGGAAACCAATGAACATGTTTTGTGGTAGTAACTATTTGCCATGTCGATAAATCATCGTGAGTAAAGAACTGCATGTACTGTGATACAACATAAAAATCAGTATTTTAATTGAAATTAACTGGGGAATTAATAGAAGACTCGAATTTTAAAAATCGCTCTTGCCAGTTTGTGCTCAAACCATTCGTTCCTGAGATAAAATCATCAATGACAAATATTTCACGATTCACTCCAACTGTTTCGTCACGGCACTTCTTGATCAAAAAAGGCAAAATTCGATTCATTTTAATTACTTGTATAAGCTATATTCAAACGTCGTGATTGGTCTGAATACTGGTGTAGCACTTCAAGTTCAGATTCAACGTTCAAATCTTCCCAATTTCTCTTGATCGTCAGTAACAACTGTTTCATCTGAAAAATTTGCAATCAATAATTTTTTTATCAGATTTAGAAACATATAATGAATCTTTGTCAAGCAACAATTACATGATCCTCCATTATGATCCAGTTGAAAAATTTTATCATGCCTACTATATAGCACCCGATAATGGGTAGACACTCAACGACCATGTCCAAATCATTCAATGACTCAATGAGTTTAATTATCTACTCGAAACAAAAAATGAGAGTACCAGATATTTTCAACCAATTATAATCATTCAATAATGGGATAGTAAATGAAGTAAGTCAAAACCTTAAAAAAAGGTAAATTATTTGGCACATATCACAAGAATGAATGGGTTCAGAATACTGGTATTTGATTGTGGTTCCACGGAGGAGAAAATTTCATAGAAAAACCTAGCGAATTGTCTAGGCAATTCTATTGGATTCCGATAGAAGTATCCATTAATTTTCGATCAATTCTATTGAAATGTTGGATAGAAAATATTCTGCAGCAAAAGTCGATAGAGATCGATTTTTCTGTACGACTTTTTCTGTTGAGATATTTTCAATAGAATCTCTTCGGTTCAAATCTTCCAAGTTTTTTTGCTTGATTTTCTTGATCAAAAGAGAAGAAAAATATAATGAAAAAAACTTGGAAAATTTGAGCCGAAGGAATTCTATAGAAGATATTTCAATAGAATAAGTCATGCAGCAACAGCCCACCAACCGTGAGACAGGACTTTTTTTCGGCCTGGTTATTTGTTAACTGATCTCGTTTCCGCATCCCAGTACAGAATTACGTGCATACCTTTGGTATTAATATAGTACTAATCAGAAAAAAGGTTAAACATCTAAGAAAGATTTTGTCCCTCCGCGATTGAAACGGCCAATGGCCGATACATTGTAGACTGTGTTTGGTAAATCGATAGCATGAGTAGTCGAATATATTGTCCATGACGGCTTCGCAGGGTGACTGACACTTCAAGAGTCTCGAATAGGCTCAGCTGAAACGTCAATTGCCTGCCTAATAGTATATTCTGTCAGATCGTTACAAATGAGCAATTTAGTATTCAGATGCTAAGGGGTGCAGGTTTTGATATTTCCGCCGCAGCAATTACACGTCTGAATTCTTGATGAGCACGAAATGTCTCACCGTATTTTTCCCGTAATATCGAAAAGATATTCAACTGGACAGAGAACAATTACGTGGATAGCTGAGTCATATAGCGTACAGCAATTACATCTTTTTGAAAAGGAACAAAGTCGTCGGGAAATACGAGGTATTGTGAGGTGAGGTGGCGTGCCATACAAAGAGAGAAAAATGAATGTGCTATACGCACCAGCCATTGAACCAAATAAGAGTAACCGAAAAATTTGAAGTCCATCGAAACATTCGAATGTAGCACTCTAATTTTTTAAGATCTTACGCGACTATTCCGTGAGATTCCCTTAAGGATATAGTGGACAACTCAGTTGAAACGAAAAATAAAATTGACTAAATAAATCATTCATGTTACAAATTATTTTTCTCATCAAATGAGAAGTGTTATGGCGTACTTTTTCGGTCTCGAAAACAATAATTGCAGAAAATGTTCATAAATAATAGAGGACTTGTGACTGCGGTGGTAACAGTCAAATTTTGATCGGGCAACATCGCACACTTCGGCTAGTAGTGGGGTTGTAACAGTGAGATGAATGTTTGGGTGTGTTATACGTGCCCATATACTTCCAGCACTGAATTATCGTCACCGACTTTACCGACCTCGATCAACTGTTGTGCGGTGTTGTCGCGTTGCTCGACTCGTAATGGCGGTTAAATTTTTTTTAGAGGAATTCGAAAATCAATTGAAGATATCACGCCTTTATGGCCCGGTCCCCTACTTGTTCTTGCCGGCAGTAGATTCTCCATAGTCATAAGCAAAGGGCTTGTGTTTTTTTTTCAATATTTTGAGTGCCTAACCCATGGAGCATCTCGATCGAAGTTCCCACGGTCAACTTTCTCCCCTAAGCGTAATGTTATAAGAAGGAATTTTTAAAAATTAATTTCTCACTAGGATGCCCCGATGGAAGGATTAAGATTATTATTAACGTGGGGCTCGAATATGACCCTGGCATATGAGACAACATCAAAATTATGGTGAATAATGTGGGTTTTGGCTAAACATCCTTAACCCGTCAGCACTCGCACTATATGATTTTTTCTGGCAAAAATGTTCAGGGTATGGATATCATAGTCACAAAATTTAGATTTCAAACTGAAACTTTTTGATTGCCTCCAGCAAATTCCCTTTCATTAGAAAAGTCGCACAAAAGACTGTAGACAATATGCATTGAGAAATTTTTATAGAAAATGCTTCAAAAGGATAAGTTGATATCATTTGAGCCTCATAATCATTTTATCATTAGAACCATTACACTCATCTTTCTAGTTCGACCCTTACGACTGCTCAATCGTTATTTTTAATGTTGGAGATTTCCTGCAATGAAAAATCCGATGGTAAAACTGGAACGTTAAATCCATCTTGAAAAATAATACTAAATTACACGTAATCCCAACGAATGAAGAATTTCGCAAAATCAAAAAAAAAATTGAGTAGATATCGAATGCACAACTATCGTGTACCAGAAGGCCATGACCTGAAATTGCTAAAATTCCATTTGCGATTTATGTTTTGAAAGCTGGCATATATTTATTTTAACTATTTGACTCTCATGACTGATGCTTTTTTTGAATAAACAATTAATTTCAAGTAAAAGATATAAAATGGGCATTCAACCGCGGTTGTCGAGGCGCTGTTTACCTAATTCATTTTTACCGACGATCGACCGTAGTGCCATTCCTTAATTTTACTGGGGGTCACTCAAATCCCCGGATCGGGCCTCTAGTTAGATCTACCCTCTATGGTGTTCATAGCCCCCTCCGCTTTATTCGCCGTCGCCGTAATCTGCGCTCACTCCCCTGGAAGCAGGGTTGGGCAAGTAAATTACCTTAGGTAAATTACATGGTTTTTGACCGGTCATAAAGTAGGTAAATTACCCGGGCGAGTTGTCGGTTTTTTGACCTGTCAAAAACCTATGTGGCGCCATCTATTAGCACCTTGGGGAACCGGGAGATTTTTACCGAGAATACCGCCTGAGTTACAAGGGTAAAAATTCGAAAAAATCATACCCACTGAGGTTATGCCTCGCGAGGTTCAATCGTCGCAAAGGTCATACCTCGCAAGGGTCAAACGTGACAATCATAACTTGCGAGGGTCAAACGTCACAATCATAACTTGCGAGCGTCAAATGATCATAAGCTGTTGCAACAAAGACCAAACGGAATAGTTTCAGATTATTTTTTCTTAATTCATGATCATTCCACGCTTGTCATTGTTCTGCCTTCAGGAAAAATAAGTTGAAAAATCGCAAGAGTTAAAATTAAGACGCAGGCAAGCAGGAAAATCACAAACGATCAAGAAACAATCACAAAGTAGGTAAATCATAAGGGTCAATCAGGATAACTAGGCCGTGACCTAGTGACCTGTTTGACCCTTGTGAACCTACTTGCTTTTTTTGTTTAAACTTTATGACCGTTGGAACCTTGTAATTGTACCGCCTGGCGTCCCCCGTTGACCCTCTTATTAGTTTCACCCTCCAGATTAAAGGATTGCTTCCGTTGTTTGACCCTTGCGACGTTTGACCCTAAGAAGGCATAACCCTTGCGATGTTTAACCTTCGCGAGGATAACCCTCGTGATCGTTTGATCTTGACGATTTCCGGCCGATGTCCCTCTCACTTTTGACCCTTGTGACTTTTTAGCTTAGCTTCCTTGTAAAGAGCTTTCTGACACTTTTTGACATTTTTGACGCCCCAGAGGTAAATTACCGGTATTTGACAATGTCACGTCATAAACTTCCGTCTGCGAGATATGCCCAACCCCGCCTGTTCCCCCTCAAAACCCTTCCCCCACTCCGTATCTATCGTCCATCCCTCTCTGTGCCGTCATGCACTAAGAAATGCGCGAAGGGTCACAAATGTGAACGGTTATAAAGCACTCATGAATTCATTCACACACATAACCTCCAACTCATCTAATAATTGTCCTTGTGACAGGTATACAACCGTAACCACATACTACAGGATGTCTACAGGAAGATATTCAACCTTTTAATGAAATAGATTTGTACAAAAGGTTAAATATCTCCGAAACTGCTCGGCCGATTGCACTTATCCAAAATACGAATCTTCAATATTGTAAAAGCTATAATCACACCCAATTTCAACTTACTATTTTCATTTTTTCTCAAAATATCGTGCGTACAAGAATGAAAAAATTCAAAAAACGGGAATATCTCTGATTTTTTGTATGGACGGGTATTCATATTTTGATTGATTTAGATTGGTGGCCCCCGAGATAAGTATTTTGAAAAAAAAATTGAAATCGGATGGATAGATTCTGAGATAGTTACGAAAAACCGTTTTGATACAATGTTGAATATCTCCTAAACTAATCATCCGATTCAGCCCATCTTCAATCCCATCCATTGCAGTACTAAGATGCAGACTTGATTGTTGGATTTCCCATATAGACAGCTGGGTACATGGGTATGAAAATAAGAATGAAGATAAATTTGTCAACTTCTTCCGTTACTTACGTAACGATCTCAGAGCAGAAAAAGACGTCGATGATATTACGGAGTTCACGAAGAGGCGAGACAGGGGTCATCCACATTTGAAGTATTATGTGCCTTGTGAGAGGGTGTGGACACTCTGTTGTGAGAAGTTTGGGAAGATGAACAATATTCTACCCCAGATTGTTGCATCACTTTTTGACACAGATGTTGCGCTCTGTGCGCTGGTTATGGAGGGGTCGAGTGACTTCAGGACGAAATGTTTGAGGGAGATTGAAAAGAGCTACAAGGAGGATGGACATGGCGTGCTGGATGAAGACTTCTGTAATAAGTTCATGGAACTATTGGTGAATAATGAGGAAAAGGAAATTTTCCACGGGCTTCTTTCATCCATCACGACGCACGAATAAGAAGTAGACGTCATCAGGATGCTGAAACATATTGAACATACTCTTGAAAATTCGGAATACATGTCATGTTTAACTGAAGTAATTCCAACACATTTTACGGAGTGTGTCATTTGTTAGTTGGAAATGAAAACTTGATCTACAATTGATAGTTTTTTTTCTCAGACTAGACCTATTTTCTCAAGTTGTTTGGGAATACAACATGATTTTATTATTTTCATCCATAAAAGCTGGATATTCGTTCATTTTTCATTTCAAATCTCTTCGGCTATCGGTATTTGGTGGCCGAAGAGAGCCGAAGTAGTTAAGGCGTGGAGCATATTCTCGAGTGAGGATCATACGTTCGAGCGCATGTGACTCATAAGTGTAGCACAGGTCGCATCGACTTGCTTGCGTTCGAACGTATGATCCGCACTCGAGAATAGATTCCCAGGCATCTCAGGTTCGATTCCCGCTTTGAGCGATTTGTAATAACTCGGAAATCATTGAACGAGTCTAAGGCACCGAAAATTATCGAGATTGAATATTTGGGAACATTCTCCGATGGATGTTCTAGTATTTCAAATAATAGTATATTAGGTTACAAGTGTGAAAAAATGGCAATGTAAAAAACGGCAATGCGAGTGGGAAAAAGTTTTTAGAGAATTTGTTACATTCGCATTTGATTGTAATGAACATACATACCTTGAAAAATGACAGAAATTAATTGACGAAAAATTTTCTGTGAGATGAGGTAAGAGAGTATTTGTTCCCATAAAAACATAGCCTCTGCAGAGGACTCAGACTCAGAATCTGGTGAACGGGAGTCTAGAAATCGGAAATTATCGAAATTGAATGTTTGGCAACATGGTCAGTGATATCCGGTCGATGGACGTCCATTACCGCCAGGGTTTTCCATGGTTTCTCTTGGTCACCAGGAGAACCTGCACACGAAGTGCAACTTCTGGGGTGAATGCCATGTCATTAAAGGGAAACAATCTGCCCATGAAGTCACAAAAAGACGATGGGGGCGGAATGGGACCATGGAGAGCCCAATCGGCTATATGGGAAAAGGTTAAAAAAATGAGTTTTATAGAAAAATAAAGTTCTATTGATTTTTTCTATAAAATATTTTCTATTGAACATTTCTACTACACGGAAAAACCATAGATCTGCTGTGAAATTTTTCAAGAACATCGACCAAAAGCTAATAGAATATTCAATGAGAATGCGCTAGAATTGTCTAACGAATGCGTTAGCTTTTTCAACGAACTTCACAAACGAATATTGATGAATGCATGTCACAAAGATTTTTTCATGAAAGGCATAGATTTTTATAGTTCGTTTACTCTCGTTCAGAGTTCAGCAATTGCTTGATGTACTCAGTGTTATTGTTACAAATTACAATACATAATGAATGAAAATATTATGAATGTCGTTCTACGTCGTATTAACACCTGAAATGATAGGTGATACGTGGTTGCGAAGATATGACTAGAAATTCCTCAATCAAATGGTGAAGACTTTCGTTGGCGATGAATGTATATCTACAATTCATCGCATAGAATTTAAAACGGTCATGAAAGACATGATCGTTCTTAACGTCTGTTAAAAAATTTGTCGCTCAGAGTGTATATCACTTTCAATTTTTTATCTTTAATGCTATGTAATTCTGCTCTCACCGCTCCGAAGCTTTCCATCGACATAGTGTATAATTTTCCTGCCGTTAGTCGATAGGGTTTTATACTCCTCACCATCATGGGGATGAGGATTAATTGCAATTGATGAGGCAAAAGGTACCAGTTGCACTTATATCTGAGGATCAAAGTACAGACCCGGTGCTTGAACCGTAACAATATTTACGAAAATCACCAATTTCCACTTATATGTACTAACGTTGATAGAAAGATATGTTCGCTCTGCACTATGAGATTATGTCCTAACCAGCTGATCCAAAATAGATGGGCGAGTGCACCCATGTTGACAATTATAACCCTGATCATTTCATTTGGATGAGACATTTTGATGACAGCCTTAAATAATGTTAATAAATTACCACAAGTTTTTAGACATATTTGGGAAATCTGCATGGTAATATATACCGAGGGGCTACTCACTCCATAATAAAGTGACACTATGACTCCGAAGGGAAGTCAGTTCACGGGATTTCATAATAGCAGTTAACTTTTAATGATTCCATTAATTCGAAATCAATGATTTCAGAGAAATTAAATCAGTATTCTCAGTAAATTCCGAACTTGTTTTGAATGTTTTCATGATTTAGTCGATAGCAAAAAGCGACATCGGTAATAAGCTAAAGTAACGAGGAGAAATATTTAATAGAAGTTTATTAGTTGATATCATATAAGTGGGTTAGAGCGTATAACGTTAGAGCTTCCCCTACGTTAAATGTAAAGGTCCGAAGATTTGATGAATAAGCAAAAACTAAATTCACAGTTCATTTTTTAATAATGTATTTTCTGGCGTTTGCATTGAATAAAATTTACCTTCTCATTTTCGTACATAAAATCTACTATTTGTTCATTTATTTATTTCAATTCTTTTGGTCTTCAAAAAAAAAAATGAACCTGCTCTCTTGTCTCAATTAGTTTCTTAGTCTTTTATTATAGGAATAGAATATTTTCAATAGAAAAAGTCCACAGAATTCGATTTTGCTATGCAGCTTATCCGATTGAGATATTTTTTTATAGAATTTCCTCCGTTCAAATTATGTTTTTTTTTCATTCTATTTTTCTTCTTCTTTCCTTAAGAAAATCACACAAAAAGTTGAGAAAATTTGAGCTGAGGAAATTCTATAGAAAATATCTCAATAAAATAAGAAACTTATTGAATATGAAACTCTTTATAATGTTCTTCTTCTTCTACTGCCGCTGGCGCGGTTTCAAACAAATAAGAGGAAAGAACTTTTTTTTGAATAAAGGTTTTTATTCAAGATACGTCATGAGTTACTTTATATATGGTTTATACATTTATAAAAACAAGTATAAAAAAATGTGTACATCTTTTTTCCAAGATAATTTTTTTGCGATAAGCTAGAAGTTTACATACTATTTGCGATTTTCCATTTTAGTGAACTATGGTTTTTCTTTTTACATTTTTATATGCATAAGGTATTGTGTAGGTAATGGGCTTAAAACAAATAGAGAAGAATTTGTCGGTAACAAATGAAGTTTGCGCTGGAAAATGATTTTCAAAAAGCGTGCTCGGGGAATTTACCAACGGTAGACGTGACTATGTTCATAGATTTTATGGGTTTAAATCTGTGTCAAAGTGTGGAAAGTCGTAGTTCTGTCATTTTCACTATCGTATTTTTTACATCCTGGTACAAAACAATATTTATAAAGAACTTTCATCACCCGATCCAGTTCTTCTGACATTTTTGCGCCAAATACATTCACAGAGGATTTTTTTAGATTTCAGCAGTAGTACTAAACGGCTTGATGGCGCCACACGAAAATTTTGGCCACCGGTGAGTTGACGTCGCGGGCCTTTTTAGAACGTTTAAAGTATGTAATTTTTCTAAGCAAATAAATAATTATTAAACTATTTTCCGTGTATTTGCTTATCAAATATGGGTTCTTGGGGACATATATTTGAGAAAAAAAAATATATATATAAAAAAATTCAAGTTCTCTAGTTCTTTAAAAAAACTCCCTCAACTACATACATAAAGCCTCTAATATCCTTCTACCCTATAATCTCCATCTCAACTTCCGGTGTCTCTCCAAGATCCACATCACAATCAGAACCGCCTTTCTCCTCTTCTTTCTCATTTAACCCAATCCCCCCATGCTTGATGAACCTCTTCACTCGTTTCTTCAACTCCTCAGCATTGTGAACCTCAGCAATCCCCATAATCTCCAACGCGTTCTCTCGATTGATCTGCCCAGCAAGCACTCTCTCACACTCGCTCTTCAACCCTTCCAACTGATACCTATCAGCCACTTCCAACAGCTCTTTCATCAATCCCTCATCCCGTATTTGATCCGTATAAATATAGTGCAACATCGCTGTGACAGCTCTCAAACTCACCCCCTGGATTCTCATTTCATTCCTCTGACCTTCCATCATCTCCGGATACTTGAACATCGCAGAAAACACAGGACTGCGCGCAGCTAGAATCATCTTGTGCGCAGGAATTCTCTCGTCTTCGGCGATCAGAGTCACATCAGAAAACTGTGGACTTCCCAGAAAATTTTTCAAGTCGTCTTGCAGCCGATGAGGAGTCGCCATCGATATGCTCTCTAGTTCGGCCACATCAGGAGTGTCCAGATCCACCGATTGCCAGGTCAGTTTACAATTGATTATCAACAGTCCATTCGGCATGAACAAAGTTCCCTCTTTCGACAACTTCTCTCTCGAGATGAAATAGCGATACCCATACAACGACTTTTTCTCCCGAAAGTTGTACTTGAAATGGAGCTCAAAACATTTTTGTTTGGTCTCTGGATTGACTATCGAAAATTCGCAGACAACCCGGACACCTTCATTGACGTATTCTTCGGATGATTTGAGTGACTTCATACCAAGGTAGAGAGCAATATAATCCTGACTTTGCTTGTTATCACCTTTAGGGAATATCTCGAGTCTCCAGATTTTGTCCGTGCTTGTCTTCGAGTAGAACACTGGAGAAATTAGTTTTTCGTTGAGTCTCTCTGGACGATTGAGAATGTTTTTGATTTTCCAGGTGTAAGAGACTTTGTGGATATTGTTGTTTGGGTTATTGTATTGTTGTGATGCCATTTCAAATTGATTAAAATGTATCTGAATTTATACACTCGATCCAACAGAACGGAGAGGAGAATTTTAAATGCTCAATACTGAGGCTGTTGCAGGCTGGTATGCTATTCAGTGAGGATATAATATGTAATACTAAATTTTATAGTTCTTGCTACAATGGAATGATCGTGGCTGGGTCCCCACTCTCTCGCATTTAGCTCAGACCCGACGTCCCCCACCACTCAGATCCGTGATCATTCTTTCCTGGCGGCGACGATATGGTGACGCATTAATGGCGTCAGTGCCCTTTCCAGCTGTGTCCAGGGTTGCCAGATATTTCAGAGGTCTCGGCGCCAGTAATCCCTCTCTATATCGCTCAAAGTCGGTGCTAGTGTCGCCGAAAAATCGCCCATTTTTTACATAATTATTTTTTCAGTAGGCTATAAATGCACAGATGCATGTTTAATGTAATATGTAATAAACTTCAATTTGGTAAACCCTTGCAGAGACATCTCTTGGACGTGGCCTCTTGGTTCCGAAAGATCCCCAATAAATCAGATTTACAAATGCAAATGAAATCATCAGGGGAGGGTGTCAAAACAGTGACGGAAATAATTTATGAGTTAAGTTAAAAAATGTTTCAGAGAATAGCTTCTAGAAGAAATAATTCGGAAACTTGAGGGACAGTTTAAAGGATATTTTCCGCTCCTCATTGTCAGAAACGATGGCTAAATAAAGTTGAAACAGTACAATCGAATACAGGGGGGCTATTCTTAACAAAAAGCCGCTTTTTCTGCAGCTCTTTCGAAGCTGCGATTTTCTGCCGCGAGGGGGCGACACGATACTAAATGACACAAATTGATGACTTTGTGAATACATTTTAAACCTCAAATCTGTCAGATTTTTTTGACATTTGGGAGAGCTATGATAAAGTCAACTTTACGGAAATTTATGCGGCTTTTTGTTGAGAATAGCCGCCCTGATCCATTGAAAAGTGGGTAGCCAGCTAGCGCCATTAGTGCGTGAATCGGCCGCAAAACTCCCTTATTCTCACCTCCATAAATCTCTCCAAAAGTCATCACATCCATAGATGTTTACCCCTTACAATACAACAAATTTACGAAAAAAAACCCTCCCCCGTTAATAAGTCTCATCACCCCATCAAACTTCCCCAAATAAACAATGTCAGCACCTGAAACTGCAGTCTCAGCCTGCCCAAAGCAATGGGGTCGCAGCAAGATGAACGTCTCCAAGATCACCTACGACTGGACAATCACAGAATTCAGCCTTCGCCCAGAAGAGGTCAAAGAGAAGATGATCTCGCCAGTGTTCTATTCCGTTGAAAACAAGAATGATCAGTGGAGGTTAGAGTTGTACCCCAGAGGGGACAACAGCGACAACAAGAACCACCTCTCCCTCTTCCTGCAGCTGGTGGCCACCGACGAGCCGGAAATACCCCTCCAATGTAAGTTCTCCATTCTCAAAGCGGATACCAACATGAAAACAAACACGAAGAAGTTTTTTCGAAAGTACATGGTTGGGATGACCCTGGGTTACCCATCTTATGTCAGTCGAACACATTTATTGGATCAGTCCAATGGTCTTCTCACAGATGATGTTTTGGTCATTTGTTGTGAGATTGACATACCCAAAGACACAATATCGACATCCTGGATTGATGATGCCCGACCAGAACCGAAACACATCTCCAAACGTCGACTCGTGGATGATCTCCGGGTGCTTTTCGACGAATCGAAGTTCTCTGATGTCACGATTGTGGTCGATAACAAGAAGTTCCCCACCCATAAGTCGATCTTGGCATCAAGGAGTCCAGTCTTCGCAGCCATGTTCAGTCATTCCTTGAGGGAGGAGCAGAGGAATCTGGTGCACATCGATGATATGAGGCCTGATGTCGTCAAGGGAATGCTGCAGTTCATTTATACCGATGAAGTTCCTGACCTGGAGAAGCTGTTGAACGAGTACCTGGGGGCTGCTGAGAAGTATCAACTGAGTGGAATGAAGGAAAAGTGCGAGGAGGCCATTCTGGAGAGGGTCAATGAGGAGAATGCTGCTCTCTATCTGGTAATTGCTGATCGGTTCAACGCTGATGGACTGAAGGCGAAATTGATGAGCTACATTACGAAACACTTGCCTGGGATAGTCGGGTCGGCAGCGTTCAAAGAAATGGAGGAGAAACATACGGCGCTGCTGGGGCACATCATCCGGGCGCAGGTCAAGCTGATGGAGGAGAAGACTTTTGACGAGTATATTGTTGAGTGAATAGTGGTTGAGAACGTCCAAAGGTTCGAACGAATGTCCAAAGGTTCGAACGTCGAAAAGAATGTCCAAAGGTTTCTATTTGTCATTGTTCAACAACCCCTTCCAGCCAATTTACGATCACGAATATGCAAAAATGCAAAAACTTGTGACTTTGAAAAAATGAAAATTCTCCCACTTTTTCCATTTTGTCAACGTTTCGTGTGCTATATGCACACGTCTTCAGGGTAGTTTATTTATCTTATGTAAAAAAGGGGAGAATTTTAATTTTTTCAAGTTCGAAATTTTCGTATTTTTGCATATTGTGACCGTAAATTGACTGGAAGGAGTGGTTCCATAATAATGTCCAAAGATCTTTTTTGTAGTTCGAATTCGTAGCAAAATATATCTCCAAGTCATTTTTGTAAAATGCATTAGTTTTGGAACCTTTTAAGTTGACTTCGTTTCTTTTCTTTATAATTTTGATATGTTTGAAAAAAGTGTTTGAGTGAAAAATACTAAAAAACCGTTTTCGTAACTCGTGAAATGTCCAACAAAATAAGTCTTCTGATATTTTTTCTTAAAATCACTCATTATGAGAGTAATAATGGAGACGTAACAAATAAGATGGATGCGGTGTTATTATTTCAGATTCTTATGGAGATTATTACATAAATATCTCTCAAATAAGCGGGTTTAGGTAAATCTGTGGAAAGGACCTTTTTGTACCTGATGGAAATTCTAACAAAAGATATCTTTTGAAATCCTTTCTGAAGTTTCCCATTATTATTAAGATAAATTAATATTGAACCTGATTAAACTGACTAAGCTTTCTAAAGCAATAATCAGGTTTGAGGTTTAACGAGGCATGAAAAATTCCGGCGATATTCCGCATACAAAGAAATTTTGTATGAAAACCTAGTGCATTTACTAAAAATTTCCAGTGGAATATTAAAACGCCTGTGAATTTGTACTCGATTCTCGTTCATCTAAGCATTTATAAAATGGAAATGTCGAATCGAAAATAATGCGTTAAAAAAATTCATAAAATCTTGTTGAAATATTTTCCATGGTTTGTTGCTAGGATTTTTTAATGAGAGTAGAAAAGAATGTAATGGAAAAAACTTATATTAGAAAATATGTGCCAAAATTTGTTATAAAAATTAGTTGTGTCGAAGGATTAAAATCTGTTCATTGTATTTGTATACAGAATTGTTCCTATCTGTAAGACACGCGCAGATACAAACAGAATCGGCGAAAAGCTCATAAAATTTTCGAAAGAAGTTCAATAGAATAGCCTAACGAAGGCGCTAGGTTGTTCGACGAAATTTTTATGTACGTATTGCAGAGACAGTCAGTGATAAATTGATAAAACATGCTAAAATTTATTAATTTTTTTGATAACTTTCATATCGTTTTTGAAACGAGATAATTTCGAAGAGAATGTGAAGTCTTTTTTTGTACCTAATAAATTCCCAGCAAAAATGTCTCCTGGTATATTTACAAATCAATCATTCGGATGAATTGATTCTTAATGCCGTGTGAAAAATTGAATTGTCAACCTGGCGGATCTGTCGGTTCATAGGACTGGCCGATTCAGTATGTCGATAAATTATTGGTCGATAACCATTCGATTCTTGGTTAACCGGTTGGTTCATGGACCTGCTGAACCGGGCGGTTTCTGAATCGACGGTCGATTAACTCTGAATGGCGATTCCGCCAGAGAATTCACGATCGCAACGTAGAAGTGGAAGCCATCAAGTGGTCTTTCCACTAACTACTCTTGGCGAGCAACCAATGAGATTATTGGATTCTCAAGCTGTGAATTAAATTTTGATCTTATAAGCTACCGATTGTTTATGAAAATGGCACAGAACAATTATCTCAAGAATTCGAAAAGAGGATGCTGTTTTCCACAGTGCAAAGTAAAGGATAAACTGAATTTAAGTTTCCATAGTTTTCCATCCGATTTAATTTTACGGAACAAGTGGATGGAAGCATTGAAACTGAGAAGAATTTACGATGAAAACATGAAAGTTTGCAGTCAACATTTCTCTCTTGACGATTATATAAAGTGGCGTAAGTATTTCATGTAGAGATGAATATTCTATAATGAAATTAGCAGGGTCGATTGAGTCCATTTTTTGTTGCATATCTCGTAACCGAAAGCAAGTTAAAAAATTTTGGTAATGAACTTTTTTAGGTCTACATTTTTTGTGTCTACATCAATGAATAATTTGCTATTTCATACTCCAGAGCCTTGGCGCACTACCATCGGATTGGTTCCACAACATAGTAATTCTACAAACCACCACCAGACGGCGAAAAATCGCTTTGCGATCGCGATTTATATCCGTATTTCACTTCACATCTCAATAAAGATATGTTTGTAAACCCCTCCAAGACTATCGAGAAGAATGTTTACGCAAATGTCCATAAATCTCTTTCTTTGGTAAAAACCATAGACATATTATACCTAGACCGCACATGTAGAGGGGAAAGCCGTCCAGAATTAGCCAGAGAGAGAAAAGAAACCAGATCCGATCAATTAGCCCCTCATGTATAGATATTCCAAATTTTTATTTTTTTCCTCATTGAAGTAGTTTTGAAGAAAATTGCGAGCTAATAAAAAACATTTGCTAGTTAGTACTTTTTTAAAAATAAATTTTTGAAAAATCACCCCTGAAAAAAAAGGCGTTATCCGCCCTATTTCATTATTTCCAAAAAATTTGATCACCAATCGGTAGTAAATTGTTTGAAGTTTTTGCGAGTTAAGAAAAAATCGTCAATGCACTCCTATTATTGT